CAACACAGAGGGCAATGAAGAGGGGAATGAATGAACAAATCATAAAAAAGAGCTGATACTCTACACTAATGGTAATGTGAAGCATCTTAAGAAGTTAAGTGAGATTATTAAAAGGGTAATGAGGACTTGTAAATGAGTGAAAAAGAGTGGGTGTTTCGAGTTTTGTTTAACCGCTATAGTGTCTCACCGAGTATTCCAATACTTCTCTGCTTGGACATACAATCTCCTTAACCCGAGTACCGTTTTTGTATATCTTTACTGTTGGTACAACTCTCACGTTCTCTGCATTACCTATCGAAGGACATTTATCGATGTCCACCTAACCAAAAGAGGTAGAATTTAGAGTCATTCGCTTCCTAATGGAGTTATGAAATGTTTTGAGTCATGTAATTTTACCTTGAGGAAGTGTATAGATGGGTAACGAGTACATAGCGAGTCTACAAACGGAGATATCTGCTTGCATTGATGATCAGAGGCTGTCGAGAAATGGATAACCGATACTCCTAGATTTTGATTGAAATATTCACATACCAAATTTCGTAAGTTAGATCCGAGTTGCACACCAAAAATATTATCAATGTAAGAAGCAGAGTAATTATGTTTTACCGGGTAGGTTCATGGCAGCTTTAAACTGTTCACGACTATAAACTTCCTCGACTTCGCCACCAAATTCCATATTTAAAACTTCTTCTCCGCGAGATTTCTTCATCGCAACTTGAGCATGAAATAAAGATTCAGCAACTTCCTTGTCATGAGGTAGTTCCTTTCTCAAGGCCTCGTAATCACTCACTGCAGCTGCCCATCTTTCCATCTACAGTTGAACAGAGAAAGCTCAAACACCAGCTTAAAGCAAACTACAAGCCAAACTAATTGGTAGGGCGGTTTTATTATGTACCTTGCTATTTGAGGCAGCTCTCCGAAGAAGTGGCTTCGTGTAATTTGGTTGGAAACGCAGCGCTTGGTTACAATCTTCAATTGAACGTTCCCACATTCCAAGTTTAAACCAACAAGCTGCTCGGTTACAATATAATATAGCATTGCACGGATCAAGCCTAAGGCCTTCTGCATAAGCTGAGCTTGCTTCCGTATATCTTTCTGATTTATAAAGATCGTTACCACGAACACGAGCCCTAGCAACCAATGTAACAGTATTATGTAACATAGCAACTTCGTTGCTTCGCGGATCGATTTGGCTAGCTTTCTCAGCAGTCACAACTGCATTTTCAAACCTGCAAGAATTCATCATCTGCTCTTTACCACTTTTTCTTACATTCAATAGTTTATATAACAATGGTATTTGAAAAGGTTTCTCTAATCTCACCTTCCTAAAGCCATCTCGATTTGAGCTTTCACAAAATACGTATAAGCTTCACAAGCCATACCAGAAAACCGAGTCTGCGAACAAGATACGGGAAACGGCTCTACTTTGGGAACTTCAAACAGGTTTGATTGCGCATCTTCAATCCGGTGAAGTTTCAAGAATGCTTCTACTTTACACATAACTAGCTGCAAATTCAAGACACAACAGTTATAAAAATCCATTTGATTTCGATTCTGATTCTATCTAATCCCACATAACTTGAATTCTTTTACCTGAGGAGAGAAATCTGCTCCAGAAACAATAGCTGCATCTACTTCCATCAAAACCGTCTTCCAATCACCGATCCTTCGCGCATCTACGCATTTGTTTAAATGTTTCTCCACTCCTTCAAGCTTCTTCAACTCCATAGCATCCGATGCTTTCCCAAGAAAACAAAGATGCTTCCTTGCACTATTAACCTGACCTAATCTGCAACCAAACACACATTGAAAGTTTCACAAACCATAATAATCTCTCCTTTCACTGCATTTCAAGAAACAAACTTTATTATTACCTAATAAGCAATAAGGCCAAACGATGATGAGCTCTTGCATAGTTTTGATCCGATCTAACAGCTTCTTCACACTCATTCACAGCTTCACCGATTCGATTCAAACCCGTTAACGCAGCAGCTCGATTACTCCGGTAAGCTGCATTTGTCGGTGATAAAGCTATTGCTCTATCGTAACACTTTAAAGCTTCATGAAACAATCCTTTCCTATACATTTCGTTCCCTACTCTCTTCACTTCCTCTGAATCCGAACCTAAAATCGCTTTCTTCCATAAACTTTCCGTTCCAGTTGGACTACTTCTACTAGAGGAGCCACCACCGACAGTTACCGGCGAATTCGATACGTGTCTCGGAGATCCACCGGAAGAGGTGGGTTTCGCCGGAGATATGGTGGTTCCTCCGCCACGCATTATGCTTCCGTGACCGTAAGTTCCAGTGCCAGATCCGAGAACATCGGTTCTAGAGCGGGTTTGTTGGGTCATGCCTGTGATTTGGATCTTACCGGAAGGACAAATGTTTCCGATAGGAAGTACATTCGTCGCCGACGTAGCTGGAGACGTAGCAGAGCTAGAGAAAACGAGTGGTTGTTGTTGTTGACTCGTACCTGAGTCCGATCTCGTTCTTAGATTACCAGAACTTGACCCAGATTGACTACGAATCGAATCGGATCTTCCGATAACCGGAGCATGTCGAATCCGACCCGTTACAGATCCAGAAGAGCTAGAACTGCTACTACTCGTC